GGGAGGGGAGAGGGCACTCCACTGCCGAGCTGTGCCCATCTGGGAGGCTGGGCTTGGGAGCCAGGGGAGAATGTGCAGGACCCTCCAGGTGCCCTTGGTTTCTGTAGCCCCCGAGGTCAGGGGAGCCTCTCCCACCCTGTGGATCCTCGTGGGGAGGGAAGCACACATGGGAGGAGACTCCCTTGCCCCTGTTCCCACTTTGCACCAAGCCTGGCTGCTAATCTGGGGAACAAAACAAAATGCAGAGCCATGTTTGACCAGGAGAGCGGGTCCAGCCAGTCAGGCCCTGGAGGCCCAGGCCAGGCCCAGATGGGGGCCCCCGCACCCCAGGGCTTCTCCATCCCCTCCCACCCTGAGGTACAACCTGGAACCCTGGGGTTATTCCAACATCTCCCTGCCCCTCCCCCAGACCCCCCCAGCCCCCAGCCTCAGCTTTGCCCCACTTCTGGCAGCAAAGACAACTCTGAATTTGACCCTGCAGCCACCTCTGGCTCCCCCACTCGAGATGTGCTTCCCCTGACCTTCAGGCCTGGGGGGGGCCTGGTCTTTGGGGCCCTCAGCCCGCCAGGCTTCCCCCTGCCACTGGGCACCCCCTGGGCCTGGGTGCCACTGTCCTTTAGGCCCCCAGGTAGTGGGGAGTAGGGTCACGGGACTTCCCAGCCCCGGGACCCTGATGGGCCTTCAGGCTAGAGAGCATGTGAGTGGGTGCAGTGGGGCACAGGGGCACCTGAGCCGTTGTGGGGCGGCTGGTAGTGTCAGGCATCTACGGTGGGGCTCCATCCCGAGCTCCATCCTCAGCCACCCTCTTACCCACACTGCAGCCCTCACGTAGGAGGCCAAACTGAGACCAATTTAGGGGGCCATCGGCTTAGGCCCAGACAGGTGCCCCTTCTGACCCCCCACCATGTCAACTGCTGTGGGGCTCCCCCACACCCTCGGAGGGGAGCATGCTATGGGGGATGGGCGGTTGGCACAGTCCTGGGCTCACAGCCGGCAGTTCATTCGTTCATTCGTTCATTCACTCGGCACTAGGAGAAGCACCGAGAGCAGAGGTCGGAAGTCAGCAAGAGGAAGAACGGCGGCCTCAGGAGGCGGGCGCACAGCGGAGGGCCGCGTGGGGCCTGAGGAGGCGATGTGAGGGCAGATGTCCTGGCCAGGAGCTTGGGCACAAGACCGCAGGAGGAGCTGGCCACAGCGAGATGGGGAGGGGACACCAGTTGACCTTAGGGGACCTGGCTTTCTGTCCTGGGCATGGGAGGGGCGGGACTGGCTGAGTGCACTGGGTGTCGCGGCAGGGCTGCCTCACGCCCGTAGGGCAATGCTGAGCCTGTCCAGAGCCCGGCGCCCGGTCTCTGCCCGTGCCGGGTTCACAGCCTGCATGTGTCCCAGTCTCTCCCGTGTCATCGTCCCCGGCTGACAGGTGGGGCAGCAGAACAGCTGACAGATCACCCAGCACGGGGCAAGCACAGGTGGGGGGGCTCAGCCCTCACACCCCCAGGCCACCTGGGCCCCAGGCGAGCCCTGAAGGGCCTCTTCATGCCATCCTGTGTGTCCTTGGCAGCACTCGGGGTTTGAAACCCATTCTGCCCAGTCCTGGGGTGGGCATAGCCAGAGTGGGCCTTGGGGATACAGTCCCCTCACCTGGCCAAGGACAACTTCTGTGTCCAGCCCAGGACTCCTGGGTGTCTGGGGGACTCAGGACCCCCACATCTCAGAGCCATGAACGGACAGGGGTGGGGTGCTCACTGGGGACCTTGTGTTCTCTGCAGCCAAGTCCCAGGGCTGTGGGGTCACACACTGAAAGCCATGCTCCCCTCACACGTGTGTGTGCACCTGCACCTGAGTGGACACATTCATGCTCAAGCACAGGTTAACCTGCTGGTGCGCGACAGCCTCTTACACGGGGTACGTGTGCACCCACACAGCACGGCTGCCCACCCGCCAGGAGGGAGGATGAGCTGGTGTGTGGGGGCAGGTGGGTCGCCGGGTCCGGAGCCGCCAAGATCCCAGTGCCGGGGGCTGGGCGCTGCTCCCGTGCAGGAGGCCTGGCTGCCGCCCCAGACAGCACATTCCTCAAGTCTTCCCTGTGCCTCTGGGCACTGACTTGTCCACTGAGGAGGTCAAGTGACCTCAGAACTTGGATATTCCCAGGAGCCCTCGGGAGGGTGTTCTCACAGCAGAGGCACAGACAACACTTCCTGGAGGCAGCATGTGACCCCGAGTCACGATCCCCTTGGGAACCAGAACCCTGTCGCGCACAAGCTGGGCCTGGCCCACAAGGCAGCTCCCCACACTGAGCACCCAGCCCCCTTTCTGGGTCCCCACCACCTCTTTGAGCACCCCCTCCCCTGGCCGTGAGCTGGATTCTCCGGTAGGCTTCCCACTGTCGGAACAGCGGCAACATGGCTGTGAGGGGCACAAGCCCCAGCCTCAGCCCCCACAACCTCCGTCCAGACCCCCTGCCTTAGCCCTAGGCCTTTGCAGTGGCTGCTCCTGGGGCTTGCAAGGATCCCACACTGACTGGCGGGAGCCGCTACCCCTTTGCCCAGGAAGATTTCCGGACCCCCTGGCTGTGTCGGGGGCTTCCTTGGGCTTCAGTGCCCCTGCCCCATGTGTGTAACTGAGGGTGCCCCCAGCAGACACTCACCCAAAACAAGTCCCGTGGCTGGTCTGATCCCTGACTCACTCTCACCCCGACTCCACCCCTTGGGGGTGCCCAGCCCTGACCTCTCACCCGACTCCCTAGACCCAGAGCAGGAAGTTCCCTCGTGTGGTGGACTTTGGGGTGGCACACGCATGTAAGCAGGCTGTGTGGGGGGTGACAAGCTAGGCTGAGACTGGGGGTGCTCCTCGGAGGGGCCCTTCTGGGAGGCCCACCTGAGCACTCAGGTGCCACTGGGGCCTTAAATAGGGTTAGTGAGCGGATCTGTTTCTGGAATGGCTGCCCCAGCATCCCAGGGGCTGCCAGGGGGAGGTTTTACCCAGGACTCCAGCACCCCAGACCTGCCCAGGCTGTGGAAACCCACACTGACCCCCCAGCCTCACCCCAGGCTCTGATGTCTCACCTCTGACTTCCTGCCCTCCGCTGCCCAGCCTGCCAGGGCGAGGACGGGAGGCCAGCCAGTCCCGAAGGCCCCAGGCCACGCCCCCGGCCTATATGACTTCGAGTATATAAATACACCTGCCGAAAGCTGACACCCAGAGAACTCACACCTGCTCCGGACAGGGCTCTGCGTTTGGAAGAGCGCACGCATCCCCCTGAGCCCCGCTTGCCTGAGACAGAGCAGAGGGCACGCCTGCCAGACCAGTGCCCCCAGGAAGGACAGCTGCTGGTAGTCAGCCCCGTGGAGGGACACCTGCCAGGTGGAGCACAGGTGGGCCCAGCCCAGAGAAGAGGGAGCGAACACAGCTGGACAGGAGAGCTCGGAGCCTCACAGCCTGGTGGTGGCTAGCCAAGAGGACCATGCTCAGGCCTTGCTGACGACCCCCGGCCACCAGGTAAGGCCAGCTCAGGCACTGCCCTCTCACTTGTATAAGCTCAGGGTGGGGTGCCTCTGCGGAGGGCTGGGACCTCAGTGCCAAGGGACTGATGGTGTGGGGCATACGGGCCCGGAGGAGGCTAGCCTGTGGTCCCCCCCAGACTATGCTGAGGCTGCTGCCTAGCCTGCGGCCACCATTGTCCCCAAATGTGGTGACATCTCATGTTGCAATGCTGGGAGCACCCGTGACATCACAGTGGTGTCACTGTGACTCACGGTGGTCAGAGTCATCATGCAGCAACACCCAGACCTTCACGACACATCACCACAAAGTCATTGCACTCACCCACCAGGACTAACCAGCAAGGTAGGGTCAGGGTCACCTCTGGGGGGTCCTCCTGGGCTCCACGGGGTCTGGCCACTGTCCTCCTTACCTGTCCTCCCCCAGGCGAGACCCATGTGGCAGGGCAAGGGGCAGGGCCGGACAGGGCCCTGGTCAGCAGGCAGGTCCCGTGAGCCTTGCCAGGGAGACAAAGGCAGGGTCTCCTGTGGAAATGGGAGTGGGTCAGGAGGACGGCAGCTGTGTGACCCTGCAGGGTGGTGGTCGTCCCGGAGGATGGCTGGGGCTCCTCAGGCTGAGGTGCACTTCTAGGTCCTGAGGGCCAGCAGCATCACCAGCCAGACAAGCTGGCCCTACCGGTACGGGCGAGGCTGGGAAACAAAGCCTCCTTGGGACACCGGCCCCCACCCCTGTTCAGGCCCTCCTCGACTTCCCGCAGCCTGCCAGCTCACCCTGGCCCCCAGACAGAGTCCTGACCCTCACCCAGCCAGGCCTGGCACCCCACCCTCATTCAGCTGCCTGAAAACTGGGTGTGCACCAACCACATCAGGTGCCCGTGCTGGGACCCATGTCCAAACCCACTTCACCCGACCCAGAGTCACACCCCTCCAGGGAGAGCCCAGGTCCTGCTGATCTCTTGGCCAGGTGACCCCAGCTGGTCACCCCACCCTCTGAGCTGCCTTTTCTGTGCTGTGGCTCTTGTGTGTCCCATGACGTGGGCCCAGCCTGGCAGAGCCCGGACGTCAATAGCAACTATTGTGGGCTGTTGTCGTCGACTTTATTTATGCCCAGGTGGCACTGCCGGGTAGGACAGGCCCAGCAGGAGGTGTCCACTGAACGGTCAGCACGACACCCTGGTGCACATGGCCTCCGTTCTTAGACCCTCCTTAGAGCACCCCCGGGATGCTCACCCCTGTCTTGGCATGTGAGGAGGTGGGGGGGGGGGGCAGGCTTACAACTTGAACAGAAAGACCTTGACTCTGGTATAGATGGGACTTTCCCGAGGTGCCCACAGGTGGGCAGTGTCCTTCCAGAGATCTTTGGGGCTGGTGCTGCGCAGAAGAGACACAGGGTGAGAACAGCAGACTGTGCAGAAAAGGGGCAGCCTGCGGTCACTCACAGGGCTCTCCATTTGTCCCACAGCTCAGAGTCATGTCGTCAGGCCAGCAGGTGTGGCATACAGCCACGCCGGCCCCCGGTCGGCCCAGCCCTACAGCCACGGTGCCCAGGTCCCCCAGCACCCCCGGCTCAGAGAAGGTGGCCTCCCCGCTGGAGTGCTCCATCTGCTTCTCAGGCTACGACAACATCTTCAAGACGCCCAAGGAGCTCTCCTGCACACACGTCTTCTGCCTGGAGTGCCTGGCACGGCTGGCGGCCGCCCAGCCAACAGGCCGGCCCGGCAGCGAGGCTGTGCCCTGCCCGTTCTGCCGGAAGCCCACGGCTGTGCCGGCTGCCGGGGCCCCCGCCCTGCGCACCAGCCGCCAGCTGCAGGCCAGGATGCCGGCACACCTGCGTCGGGAGGAGCCCGTGTGGCTGGAGGGCACTAAGCTGTGCTGCCGCCCGCCGCCCTCCACACCCGGCCTTCCAGCGCCTGGCTTCGTGTGTGTGGATGTGGGCCTGAGCAAGCCTGCGGAGCCCACTGTACCCACACCCGCCCCGCGCCCTGCCCGCCGCCAGGGCCGTCTGGCCCGCTGCTGGGCGCGCTGCAGGGACTGGAGGCGCGTGGCGCTGGTCACGGCCCTGCTACTGGTGCTCTCCTGTGTGGTGCTCTGGCCCGTACAGTGCGCGCTTAAGACTGGGAACCTGCACTGCGTCCCCCCGCCCTCTGCCGCCATCACCAGCGCCGCTGCCTTCTCTCCTGGGCCCGTGGCCGACCGCTAGGCTCAGTCACCCCTGCCCCAGCTCCAGGTGTGGTGGGTCTCTGGCCCACAGTTCGGGTCACAGGTGTGGCAACCCCAGAGGGGCCCCAACGTCTCTGAGGACCCCATATACCCATTCAGCTAGCCTTCCCCCTACTCTGGGGGGCTGGATCCTGATGGCACGGACAGGAGGGTCCCTGAAGCTTCCAAGAATCACAGGCTCCCATGGGTCCCAGAGACCACCTCCCTAACCCCCCATCACGGAGAGACAGCCTTGATGAGGCCCCCTCTGTATTCACTGTGAATTACCTGCATTAGCAGCCCTTTGCTGAGAAGGGATGGCACTCACCATCTTTATTTTATTTTCACATTTCACCCACGGCTCCCTCCCCAGGCCCCTTCCCCAGGCAGGGCTGGCCCCTCCCATCGGGTCGGGGTGCTAATCCTGCCCTCTGACTAGGGGGACAAAGGGCAGCAGCAGGAGGCCCAGTCCTCCAGTGCCCAGCCTGAGCTGCACATTTTAAAATAAATTCTTTTGTATCCACATTTGATAAGGGGTCCTCTGCCTGTGTGCCCTCCTCCCCACGCCACTGAGCCTCTCCCTCCCGAAAAGCCATGGTCTGCCCCTGTCTCACTCCCACTGGATTGAAATCCCAGCAGCCTCTAGGGCAGATAGCCCCCAGGTTCTAGGGTGTCCAACTCCTGTTCCCTGTGGGCTGTGGGTAGGCTGGAGCAGGGTGGGGTGGGCAGGAAGGGGTGGGGGCTTGGCACGGTCCAGACCCCTCCTCCAGCACGCCCGAGCTGGACCCCCCAAGAAGTCAGGACTCCACAGCCCTGCTGAGAGTCCTGACAAGAGGGCCACAGAACCCCAGGACTGACTCTCTGCGAACCAAGACCTAAGGACGCACAGAAGCAGAAGTGGTGACAGCCAGTGTGTCCTGAAGATCCTGAAGACCTCCAGCAGATCCTCGCAGGGCCAAGTGCAGCGGCTCGAGGGATGGGCAGGAGTCCTGCCAACCCCCACTGGCTTCTGCTATCGATCCCAGGAATCTTGCACCACCAGTTAGCATGGTGAAGAGAGGCCAGGCTGGTTCTGGCTCCCCAGACTCCTCACCCCTCACCTCGAGGTGGGTGGGATGGCTGGGCCTCTGGCTGGGCTGGGATGGGGAGGGTGCTCAGGGAGACCCTTGGGAAGCTGGGCCCCAGACCCCAACAAAGACACAGACCTGAGAACGAGTCATTTTATTGAGGGTACCACAAAGCCACAGGGCCATCTGCGATGGGAGGGGCACAGACTACATGCCAGTGACGGAACACCCGTCACACACCAGTCATGCACACACGTGAGCCTCACCCAGGCACACGGGGTCGCTCACGTGTTCGCAGGAGCATCTCACATGCACCTGCCCTGTGGGCAGCTCCAAAGCAGGGGTGGGTGCCTAGGATGGGGGTAGGGCAGGCAAACACTGATGGTGGCTACAGTCGCGTCAAGCACAGACTGGCCACTCATGACATACGTGGTCACTGTGTTGTGCGGGCCATGACTGGTGGCCTCCCATACCGAGAGACAAACCACAGCCCTCAGGCCCTGCCTTCCCGCTCCTCCCTCACCTGGGAGCCCCAGCAGGGGCAGGGACACTCGGGTCTCCCGACTGCCCCTCCCCATTTCTAGGCGTCCAGGCCAGGTCAGGAGGGACCCCTCCCCCGGCACTCAGGGACAAGCTCCAGCCTGTATGTCCTAAACACAGTCCTGAGGAACGCCACGGCCCGCCTTTCGGGCTCCCAGCCTCCAGTGTGGCTCCGGCCCCACCCGGGGCGCGCGCACGCGGAGCCCCCGCACTGCGCGGGGTCCCTCACCGCGCGAGGCCCCGCAGGTTCTCGTACTCGCCGCCGGAGGCCTCCGCGGTCCTGCGGGCGGAGACAGGGTTAGGCGGGCGCCCACGCGGGATCCCGCCCCATACGCTGCCCGCTCCCGACGGGGACCCCGGCCCGGTCCCGCTCCCCGACGACCCTACTCACGCCGCCGGCGCCCGAGACGACAGGGGTCCAGCGTTGCGGCCGGGGTCCGCCGACCCGATGCCCACGTCCAGATAGTCGCGCCCCTCCCGCGGCTCGCGCTGGGAGGAGGACCTGTCGGTCACCATGTGGCGTCCGCGCGAGCCCCCCGCCCCAGCCCGGCCCCGCCCCCACCTGCTGGCGCAGACGCAGCTGCTCGCCCTGGATGTACCGCTGCAGCGCCAGGTACACGAACTTGTACTGCGCCTCGGTCTGCACCATCCCCGAGCGCGGCCGCCGCACCAGCTGGATCGTCTTGGGAACGTCGATGTCGCAGTCCAGACCGGGGCACGAGCGCGCTCAGGGCCGGGCGGGGGCCGGGGCTAGACAGGAGGGGCGGGGCCGGCAGGGAGGGGCCGGGGCGGCTCACCCTGCCGGCGGAGGAGGTCCACCAGGATGTCAATCACGATGATCGTGCCAGTGCGTCCGATGCCGGCGCTGTGGGGACCGACCAGGAGGCCTGTGGCGAGGTTAGGCGAGGAGGCCGTGGCCCTGCCCGGGGTTGCACCTGCACTGCCCGCCCACCCCGTCCCCGATCGCACCTGCAGTGCACCACCATGGGTCCGGCCCCTGGCATGCTGCTCTGGGCCCTGTTCACCTCCTCCAGGAAGCCGAGGACGCCGGAGGGCTCGGCCGGGACCCCGTGGTCTGGCCAGCTGAAGTACTGGTAGTGCTTCACTGTGCGCGGTGGCTCCTCCTGGGCAGGGTGGGTTGGTGAGCGTGAGCCGGGCCAGTCTGGGCCGTTCCCAGGTGGGGCCAGGCCGCAGGGTCACAGTGGAGCAGCTGTGAGCCCCACGGTAAGAGGGGCAGGGGGCATGAACCGGGAGGAGGCAGGCAGAGTTTGCCAGAAGCTGTGACCAGCAGGGTCAAGGCCGAGAAGGGGATGGGAGGGATTCAGAGCTTGGGGGCTCTCAGATGGCCCCGGGTGGCTCAGACCCCTGGGGAAAGGAAGAGGGAGCAATGGGGTGAGGCGGCAGGTTTCAGGGACAATGGCCTCTATTTGGGAAGATTCAAGTGTGAGGGCCCTGCAGGGCCCCCCAGGTGGTGAGACATAAGAGACAGGGTGGGGGTGGGGGACATGGGAAGGAATCTGTTCCTGCCACAGAAATAGGTACCACTGGCCTACGAAGGACCTTGAATCTGCTGAGGTGGCCCAGGGAGAGACTAGGGAAGGAGAGGCCATGTGGGTGTGAGGCCACCCTGGAGCCAGGCAGCTGGGACCTGGGGCCTGGGGTTGAGAATGTGACCTGCCTGTGAGCACGGCCCAGCAGAGCCCAGACCGGGACTGTGCCCACTGGGTTAAGGGACATGAATACCACTGAGGCCAATGGGATTGGGTGGAGCCACGAGGCAGGGGGCAGCACAGGACTTCCTCACCCCCAGCACAGACCTGGGGACTTCCTGACTACTGTGACTCTGGCCCTCCATGTCTTGTGGCCCTCTGGGCTCACCTGATCTGGCCGCCACACCTGCAGTTCCCGCACACAGTAGCCCTGGGCCTGGTACTCCGCCAAGTTGCAAATAAGTACACGGCCATATTCGTGGCTGCCATGTAGCTCTGGCCAGTACCGGAAACATTTGTTCTGCGAGGGAGGGTGCATTGCATCAGTTGTGCTGGAAGACCACCAGCACCCTTGCCCCTGTGCCCCGTGGGGACTCACACATGCACATGCATACACAGGGGCTTTCCAGAGTCCCTCCCCCTCCCACAACACACACAGGCACAACACACACACACACACACACTTCCCCCCCTAGCATCCCGAAGGCTAAAGAAAAAGCAAGGCTGGGCCAGCCACCAGCACAAATCCACATGAGCACATGGTGGGGAGGGGGCTGTCAAGCCCAAGCTCCTACCCGGCCTCGCTCCACCTCTCTTGTGGCCATGATAATGACCCGCGTGTTCTCCTGGTGCACCATCGCCCAGAAGGCAGCTACTGTGGTTTGCAGACAGCCCTGGGTGGCGATGTACACCTTGCCCAGTCCATGACCTGGCTTCTCCTCTGGATCACTCTGTAAGGGGGTGGGGGCCGGGGGTCCATTGTTTCCAGGATTTAAAATGCCAGAGGACAATGCAAGTCTATGCAGATGACATACAACGTAGCACCAGGTGGCTCACAAACAAATGATGTGCAAAGCAGCACCAGGTGGCTCACACACAGCCCCTCCTGCCCTAGGCTAGGGAGGAGCTTAGGACCAATATTCAGTGCAGCCCACTCTGAGGGCTCCTTGGAAACCTCCACGGCCCCTCTCCCCCAGCAATGTGTACTGTCCTGCCAGGGCCCACGGATCATTGGGGCACCTGGATCTTCCCGGGCCTGCCAGCAGGAGCTCCAAGTTCATAACGGGGGATAGGGTGACTGGTGTGTGGCCAGGCTCGAGGTGTCCATGCTAGGCTACACAAGCAGCTGACCACACCCGTCTCTCACACACCCACCCTGATATAGTTGGCGTTGATGTAGTTGGCACCAGGCACACTGTCGTCCACATCATGCAGAGTGACACGGGTGGTATCAACTGGGAAGGGAAGATGCTGCTCAGGTCTGGAGGGGAGAGGGAGGAAAAAATGGACCTCACCCGTCCTCTTGCCGGCAGACCCCATGGTGAGCAAGATGAGGGAGGAAGGGGCCCTGAATGCGCAAAAGGGGAAGTCACCCCAGTGGTGGGACACAGCACCCTGCCGCAACCTCCACAGGCCCCTCCTTGCCAGATGGGCCCCCCCATGTAGCGGATGGAGCCCTGGCTCCCCAACACGGCCCCCCCGCCTGGCCCTCACAGGGAAGGATGCTCTTGTAGCGATTCTTGGGCTTGTTCTCCAACCGCTGCCCCTCCTTCCGTGGATACAGGAGCCGACATTCCTGCTGCTGCAGCATCTGGTTGCGGGTGGGGAGCTTCAGCCTGTTGTCCCACACTTGCCCAGAGCCTTCAGTGACCATCCTACCTCCCCTAAACCTCACCCCTCTGCTGGGCCTCGCGCAAGCCCCTAAGGACGGGAGTCTGTGGGAGAGTGAACAGTGGCGAGGGGGGCGGGCACCTCAAATTCTTCCCAGAAGCCCTGCTTGGCCTTCTCGCTGGCTTCAGTGGCCCTGCTGAGCTCCTGTACTCGGCTCTCGATGCTTGCGGCATTGATCCTCGTGGCCTTGAGGGGCTGGCCGGGAGAGGTCTGCGTCCACACTTGACAGGGTCCAGCAGACCCCGCGGCGCCTTCCCCCAGGGGGTTTCCCTAGGCCACCCCACCCCAGCACTGCCTAGCCCCTTTTCCCTGGGTCCCGATGTCCCTTAGGCTGTCCCCACCCCAGGCGCGAAGCTCACTCTGGATCCCAAGGGTCACATGCCTCTGGGCATACCTGCTTGAGATGCACCACAATCCCTGACTGCTCCACCAGGTCTGTGAGGGTGTCGAACTGCTCCCCACCTCCCACGTCATACTTCCCATCCGGCTGTGGGGGCCACAATGAGGCGCCTGGCCACTGCCTGCCTCCCCTGAGTCACACCCTACCCCTGCTGCCACCTCCCACCTGGAAGTGGACCATGACGTGTGTGACCCGCGGCCGGCGGTCAGCCTTGTCTGGCTGCTGTGTGAGCACAGACAGAACCAAGTCCCCCGGTTTGCTCCGACTCTCCCGCACCAGGAAGGTACCCGGACGTCCTTTTTCCATCAGCAGCTGCTCGGCCTCCTTGCCAGACAGGTGCCCATGGTACCACCTGGCCCAGCGTGGTGGGGGTGGGGTGGGGGAGCCCAGGTGAGCCTGGGGGCCATGGCCTGGCTGGGTGAGGGGACACAAACCCACATGCAGCCAGAAGGCTCCAAGACAAGACACAGACACAGAGAGAAACAGACGGACCCACCCAGATCTCAAGGGTCCGGGCAGTGCCCTCACCCAGGCCAGCCTCAGTTGGCCCTGCCCGACTCTCTGATTCTCCCCCTGCCCAGGAGCGGGCAGGCTGGAAGCAAGACAGGCGGGCCCTGCAGGGCCGAGGGTGGCCACCAGGTGGCAGTCTGGTCCCCAGAAAGGAGGGACAGGGCCCCCTTCTCAGAAGAGCCCCACAACCCCTCCCTGGCCCATGCAGCTTTTTCGGGTCTCGGCAGTGCAGGCAGGGAAACTGAGGCTGGAGAAAACTGCTCACCGGAGTCACCAGGCAGGAGGGTAGGTATAAGGCTGGCTGCAGGGCTCCTGCTGCACACTTTCACCCTTGTGGCCAGTGCCCCAGACCTAGAGGAAAGGAGGCCCCAAGCCCCGGGTAGGGGCATGCAGGACACTCCCTCAACTTTGCTCTAGCTGTGCCCAAGCCTGACCCTGAGCCACGGACCCTGGCATGCACATGGTCACACACATGCAGGCGTCTGCAGCTCACCGCTCGGATACGGGGTCCTGGCAGCCCTGCGGGTGCCGGAGCTCAACTGGGGCCCCCGCTGCGCTCGCGGAGCAGCGCCCCCTGCTGGCCCGTGTCGTGCTGCACCAGCTCGGCGAGCGTTGCGAACTCTCCCCTCCGTAGAGATGGTAGTAGTCGCCTGTGTTTTGGATCTTGATGTGGGTCACCTCATCGTGGCGCCTGGAAGGCAGGTGCACCAGGCACTGTTGTGGGGGGGGCTGCTCCCACCAACCCCTTCTTCCCATCACCACCCTCAGTTTCCAGAGCAGTCCCAGAGCTTTTCCTGCCCTGACGTCTCTGCCTCTGCCCTTCCCCTGCCAAGAACAGCCAAGGCCCTGCCCCATCAGCCAGTGTGAGAGTCCCACCCTGGGCGATGGGCATCCCCCCCACTGCTCCCCCTGTGAAGTCAGGACTGGACTTGCAGACCACAGGCCTGACTCTCCATTGGCCTGGAGGCGGACACCGAAGCAGCCCTCCATGATGGGCTCCGCCTCACCCCAGACGACCTGCCTGGGAGCTCCTGAGGACCAGCAGCAGGGCCCTCAACATAGCTTCCCCAGGCCTCACAGCATGGGAAGCTATCAGGAAAGCCCCAGGGGAGGACCTCAGCCTCTCCAGTGTGAGAGAAGTCCATCCTGAGGGCTAACCTCAGTCCCACCTGCTGCCTCAGCTTTAGCAGAGACTGGAAAGACCTAGAGGCGTTTTGAAAGCCCGCTCCCCAGATCACCACTCTTTCTCACAGGCTGACCCCTTCCCATCTAGGCCCACACGGATCTGGCTGTCCGCTCTGCTGGTTGCAGCCCTTCCCCATCCCTCCTCCCCACACAATGGCCCTGTCATGCCCTCGGGCCAGACCCCCCAGGGGGCAGCATCCCCAGGAGATGGGATCCTAATGACAGCCATTGAGGCCCCCTGTCCACCACACCAGACTCCTCAGAGGGCAGGGGGGAGGTCCTGCCAACTCCCTACCTCACTGAGCCCTTCTAAATGATTCCCTCCTGTCCAGAAGCCACGTGGTCAGGAATGCCAGATGTCCACCCACCCTTGCCAACCTGGTGGCTCCCACTCCTCACAAAACCCAGATTCTTAGATGTCCAGCCCCCAGCGGGGACCCTCGCTTCCCAATGTCCTACACCCCTCTGGGAAGACGGAGAAGACCGATCCCCACCTGTCCCCCAGCCTAGGGTGGAGCCTCAGGCTGGTCCACACCTGGCCGCAGCACCCACCCCCCTTCACCCACCTGACAGACAGTGTCAAGCCCCCTGGGCAACTCTTGCTGGGTCTTGCCAGGAAGCTCCCATGCTGGCCCCTGGACAGGAGCAGCTTCTCGGCCTCAGCTCCGCTCATGTTGGGGTGAAACCATCTGGAACGAGGACCACAAGCTGGCAATCCCAGAGAGCTGGGGTGACACTGAGCATACTCTGGGCTCCCCCCCTGAAGTCCTGGCCCACACCCAACCTCCACCGATGGGGCCTGTGGTGGGCCCATGCTTACAACCTGCCACGGGCAGTGACCACTGGGTCTGAGGTCTGTGGGGAAGGAGGTGGGCTATAAGGTCCCAGGGACACAGATGAACAGAAACTTTCCTGCCGCTGGGGGGGTGGGTGGGGGTGAGTGGGACAGACAGCCTCCAGCACCCCCACACAGCCACCATCAGGAACCCCACCTCACACTCTGTGCCTGGTCCCTCTGGCCCTGCATCGCAGGGCATCGCAGCTTGGCCAAAAGTACTCGGGGTGCCCTAGTGTCACCCAGGGCCTCCTTCCTGCCCGCAGAGCCCCGTCAGCAGACCCCGTTCTACCCCTCCTGGTGTGGTGTTGGCCACCACCTCCTCTCATGGGGCATGTGCCGCAAGCCCAGGGACTGCCCCGCCCCCATAACGTGTCAGTCACTTAGCCCTCCCAGGGCAAGAGCACATCTTCAGGTTCAGCTCTCCGCCCCACCTGGACCACTCTCCCCGGCCCTGGCTCCACACCCACATGAGCTCACTCACCACAGAGCCGTCGTACGAGCTGAGCGCTGGCCCCCTGGCCCACACTCATAGGGCTGGGAGACACCTCGCACTTCTCATTCTTTACCCCTTATTCGGCTTTATTTTTCTTCATAGTATTTGCCTCCTTGGCATATATGATATAAGCTGACTATCTCCCACTCAAGGGTTTAAGCTCCAAAGGGCAGAACCTGTTCTGTGTAATGCAGTATCCCAGGGACGAAAACAGTGCCTGGGTATTAGTTAGGAAGTGAATGAATAAGGGGGCACCTGGGCGGCTCAGTTTGTTAAGCTTCTCACTCTCGATTTCCGCTCAGGTCATGATCTCAGGTTTGTGAGACTGAGCCCAGCGTTGGGCTCGGTGCTCAGTGCGGAGTCCGCTTGAGATTTTTCTCTGTCCCTCTGCCCCTCCCCCCACTTGTGCTCACGCTCTCTAAAATAAATACAAAAAATCTTTAGAAAAAACAAAAGAAGAAGAAGCGGATGAATAAGTAAATGGATGGTTGGGGTACAGGTGGATGGATGGGCTGCCCCTGAGGGGACGGCCAGGGTGGCTGGCAGGTTCTGCCAACTGTAGGGCTTGATACAGGCTGATCCTATTGCTGAAGGACTAGAGGGGGACTGCAAGCTAAGAGGGACTGCAACCCTGCCTCTGTCCCCAGCCTTGCCTCCCTGGGACTGTCCCTCTTCACAGCCTCCCCCATGAGGTGGGGGACAGCCCCAGGCTCCCAGAGGGACTGGCCAGGAGGGCCCTCACTCAGGGCTGTGCATGAGCCCATGTCCAAGTTCATAACTGCTGGGTTCTTTCCCCTGGTAGCTTTTGCTTCCTCTATTAGGGCAGGAATTTCTGGCCCAGGTTTATATCTGACCCAAGAGATGGCAGGAAGGATGATCCTGCCCTGTAGAGCTCTTTCTAGAATGGAAATCAGATCACGTGTCTAACGCCACCCTGGACGCTTCTCCCTCCGGGTCCTTCTCTCCCTCCAGGCCTCCTTTTGCCCCAGGCCTTCAGCCTGTCCTTCCTCCTCCAAGGACCATCTGTGCTCATAGTCTATACCTGCGTGCCCAGCACAGCAGCCTGTAACATGTGTGAAATGTGAATGTAAATGAATTAATATTCAACAAAATCAAAGCCCAGTTCCTTGGCCACACTGCCATGTTTTACTGCTGAGAGCCACGTGAGGCTAGCAGACTGCTGACAGTGCAGGTAGGAAACATTTCCATCACCACGGAAAGTTCTGGTCTGCACTGGCCTACGCTGCCCATCCTTGCCTGAGTCCTCACAGATCTGTTTCCCTCTGCCCTCCAGACCTCTGCTTTCAGGGTGCTCATCCGTCTCCGGGGCCCGTGGCCAGGCCTCACTCTTCAGCAGCATCGGACTGACCCATGCCTCCACTCGGCCCTTCTCCAGAGCTCCACACTCCCCTGCTTTTCTGCCTCACCTGGTCAGGACCCTTTGCTGGGCCCTCCTCTTTCTGACCTCTCAATGTCAGAGCTCCTCACCTGTGCTGGCCATGTGTCTACACGGCCATGTGCCTTTTACACCTCTAGCCTCACCTGGGATCTGAGCTTCAAACTCACAGATACTTCTCTTCTTGGCACCTCCATTTGGAAAGGTAACAACATTTCTATCTTAACATTTGCAAAATTTAGAACTGCTGGACACACTCCAAAAGCCCTGCTCTTTTACCCGGTCCCCGCCCCGTGAAGGGGGCCACTGCTCAGGCATAGCTCAGGTCACCAGCCTGCAGCCCCTCGGCACTCTCTTTTCCAGCAACCTCGGGTCCTACCTTCCAAATGCACCCAGAACCAACCCCTTTTGCTGGGCATGGTTCACATTCCCTGCATTTCCCAGCAACCCCACTGCTGCCCCTACCGTGTTAACAGCCCATAGACACACACATACTTTTGTGTTTGTCACCCTGTGTCTTCACTGAGGGCAGGCTCGGATCTGACCCTGATGGCTCCCCAGGGTCCATGTGTTGGTCCAGAGGGGCCTGGAAGCTCAGATGACCTCCCCGGGGCCACCCAGCCTGAGCAACTTGCCTGCTCACACTTTCCCCGGGGGAATCGGGGTTACCGTCATCCAGGCCCTTCCTGGGCATGTTCTGAGCCTAGTGTTTTGAGCCCTCTCCCATGCTGGCTTGTAGGGGGGCCAGACCTGGGGGCAATTTTTGGTCAAGTGGTCCAGCAGGTAAGGTTGCCAGTTTCCTAGAGGAGGAGATGCCACATGGTGACCTCCAGAGCCAATCACCGGAGAGTAGGCGAGGCCACCAGGAACAGGGCAATGGCTTCATGCTGTCCTTGGACCCATGCTGAGACAGTGTGGGGCAGGGGCGGGGGGCGGTGGCGGGGAGTGGAACCCAGAAGAAAGCTTCCAACTCCCCCTCCACCATGGGCCACCTACCCCGCTGAACCACATCCTGTGCCCAGATGCCCGCTCCCCGCCCCCCAGCCACAGCAGTCTCAGATTCCAGTTCAAGATGGGCAATGCCCAGAGTGTGGGGCAGGGGTGCAGGGTGGAGGCCCAGAATCAAAGCCACAGAGAGGGGTGAAGGGCACCCTGTGGTCCTTTCAGGGGCTCTCAGTCATACTTCCCTTCCCCTTCTCCTCCCCACAAACTGCCACTGGGTCTATCAGGTGGGAATCTCCAGGGGTGGGGCATCCCGAGAGGTTGCAGCCACTCACACCACCACCCTCCAGAATCCCAGGCTGATGCAGGGCCTCACTACCCTCCAACCCAGGCCTGAGGGTGGAGCTGAGAGCCCAGCAGGCCAGTGAGGCTTCCTGCCCCTGGCTGAGCGGGGGGTGGGAGGAGGTAGGGAGGCTACAGGTCCCCATCCCCAATCCCCATACCCCTCTGTGCCAGGGCCCAGGGTCACCTCTGTGCCAAAGAGCTCCCTGCTCTGTGATGGGTCAATGACTCAGCTCTGCCTTGGCGACATGGCCTTGCAGTCCCAGGGAAGGAAGACAGGTAGGGTGAACAGGGCATACTGGGCTCCCAACAGGTCTCATGGCCTCGGCCCTTCGAGGCCCAACTGAACCCAGTCAGTGCTCAGGAGCCCAGGAACAGCCCACCTAACCAATCAGCCTGAACCCATACTGGCCACTGGCTGGCCTAGCTCCCTGTGTGGCCTTGCTCCGACCCTGGAACCTGGGAGTCAACACACCTATACCCGTGATACGGGGGCTGGAGACTCCTGCAGGGCAGACACTGTTGTGATGGTGGGGAATCCACAGGCCGGTGGAGAAGGGTTCCTGGTTGGAATTCCAGGCCTGAGGGCCCCAGAGCATAGGCAGTGTCCTTCTCCATCTCCCTGCCCCCAGGCCCCAGGCCCTGACCCTTCTGGCCCAAGAAGAAGCTAAACCAAGGGCCACCTGTCTATATAGAACCAAATTAACCAGAGATACACTGTCCTCTCCGACCCCTGGAATAGAGCGTGAGCCTGAGGGGGCTCTGCATGCCCACCAGCCCACCATGGGACCCAGCCCCCTCCCAGGCATCAGTATCAATGCACCTACAGCCAGCCCTGCCCCACAGTGCCGCAGGCCCCTGGGAGACAGTGCCGCTGGAAGTGCCCATTGACCCACAAACCACAGGGCCACAGGAAGGGGACTTGAGGTGGGGATGGACACAGGGATGGACTTCACTGCCCAGGCCTCATAGGGGTGTAGGCCAGAGGAGTGACAGTCCAGATGGTCAGCACAGGGTGGGGCAGAGAGGGGTTGGCAAGGGCGGGCAGAGCCTCACCAGGGGCTTTCCCAGGCTGGAGCAAGGTCACGTGCACATGACACAGACATGGCCTTCTCTGAGGACCAGAACTTGCCTGGGGGACAGTTGAGAGTGAAGCTGAGGGGAGTCTGAGGGGTCATCCAACCAAACCTCAAAACCCCCTCCTCCCTGAATTTGGACTGTTATCGCAGATAAGTTCCTGAGATCCAACTGATTTCCACTATTCCTGAGCTAAGAGGGCCTGTGACCTTGACGGAGGCCACTGTGCCTAGTTGCTTCCTCACTACATCCCTCCTAGGGATCCTGGGACCCTCATCACTGAGGTGTTGCTGGTGGGAGATGGGGGGAAGCAGGGGTCTCTGCCTGGGGCTAAGGACCTTGCTCCCTGGGTCCAGAGACACCCTGGGGACCCTGAAGATCAGACCTTGTCCAGGCCCTCACTGATCTAGAAAGTCACTCAGGGTCATAGCATGACCCCTCCTGTGAACTCCTGCCTCACCAAGCCCCCAGGGATATGTGTCTCACACCTGTATGACCCCCCCATGGACATCCACATGCAGGCTACAGTCTGAGCTCACACGTGTGTGTGCTCATGCCCAGAGAGCAGGGGTCCAGCAGAAAGGGCAGGAAGGGCCCAGTTCCTGTCACACTTCCCATTTTCCCTCCCCATGGAGGCAGGAAGCTGGTTTGACCTGCAGCTGCCTAGGCCCTCACATCCGTACCAGGGAGCTTGTCCCCTAAACCTGGCCCTTAAGAGGCTCTGGAGGAAAGAGGAGCCCATCTAGCGAGGGCTGGTCCTTGTAGTCAGGGTCTAGGGACCAAGACTAGAGCAGAGGAGACTAGAGCCTGCCCCGAGGGGCCCTAGGGAAGCAAGAGTTACCCCGCGCCTGGCAGAACACAAATCCAGTGGCCAGAAGGGAGCCTGAGCAGGGCAAGGAGTCCAGGGGAGGGAGAGTGGGAGGGTCTGGCTTTGTCCTGACACCTGCTGCCCATTCTAGGCTCCAACCACTGCCACCCACCACCTGCAGGGCATATTCTGTTCCTTAGGGCTAGGGTACCTCTGACCTCCACCGTGGCATCTCCCACCCCCATTAGAAAGATTCAACCGCCTGGGTGAGGCCCGGCCTGTAGGCCTGGGACCCCGGGCATCAGGCCCTAGCTGTGGAGAGAGGTCTGTGCCAGGAGGTCAGGCCTGGGGCCATGTCTCGGCGCTATCCGTCGGTGCCCATGGGGCCCGAAGCACATCTCCAGGGGTCGCGGAGTCCAGCCACCTAGCCGCCCTGGCTCACCTGCGTGAGGTCATGTCTGCTCCGCGCTGGGCGCTTGGCGGGTCCAGGCGGCCGCGCCCTCGGGCCGCTTCGAGAAGGCCCCGCCCCCGAGGGCCCCGCCCCCTCAGGGCCCCGCCCACCCAGAGCGTTGTCCGGGAGCTTCCTTAAAGGCGCCGTGTCCACACGTCTCACCACCGCGTACGAGAAGTTGCGATAAAAATAACAGTTTTCGAGGGCGCCAAACTTCAGAACCAAGAGATTCACGCGGGCGTCCCGGCCTCGGAGGGCGAGGGCGCGGGGCAGCCGGGACCGAGCGGCCCCCAGCCTGGCCGGCCGCCTCCGCACAGCGGCGCCCGAAGGTGATAAACTGCGCGTCAGTCCCACCGCGCGCGTGTCCCAGAGCCTGCCGGCCTTTCCGCATTGCCTCCTTAATGGGAGGGGGGCGGCGAGGGGCTGCACTCCCTTCACGGGGAGGTGGGGGGATTCGGAGCTAGAGGAGGAGACCCCTGGGGGTAGGAGGTGGGAGGATGTGTTGCCCTTGCGATGCGATGACCAGGTAACCACCTCTTACTCTTTCTACATTGGGGGCCTCCCTCCTTTCCGGCCCACCTCTGCCACTGGACAGTGCCCTCCCTTCCTAAGTGATGCTGACCCCCCTTCAGCTTTGCTCCTGCTACAGCTGCCCCCCATCTGCTTGCTTCCTGCCCCCCACTGGCCAAACCACCTTTCATAGGCCAGTTTCTGGGGAGCAGCACCCTAATTCATCTGGGCTCTCAACCTTGAGATCCCGGGTTAGGAACTTCAGGGCCCTCCCCCGTCCAACTTCTCTCTACCACCTTTCCAGGAGTGGTGCACCAAGGCATGGAAACTTCTCCTGAAGCTTCCAGCCCTGGAGCCCAGATCCCCATGCACCGCTGTGGAGAGTGGGTCCGTGCTGACTGACTGCCCTGCTTCCTTCCTCTCCCACTCACCCGGCTCACCTCACTAGCCACCTGCAGGTCCTGAACCGCAGCAGCAATTGCCCTGAGAGCCCCCTCCTTCGGGAAGCATCAGCTCCCAGGCCCTCCTGGCCCCACTGGCCCACCTTCTCCCTGACCTCCTGGTGCGAGAGCCTCTCCTCCCCTCACTTGACTCCCAGAGCCCCCCACTTGCTCCCTTATGTTCAGCATCCCCTCCGCCTGGTACTACATGGCTTCCTGGTCTCTGGTGAGTTGGCTCTCAGCTCCTCAAGCCCAGCCCCTCCAGATGCATCAGGGTGGTACACCCAGGTGCTCCAGTGCCTTCATCAGGGCCCCACTGCCCAGCCCCGCACGGGCCTATCCACTCTGCTCCCAAATCCTTTCTTCTCTTTATTAGTACTTGGGCCCCAGCACTCTGTCCTATACAGCAGGACATCTCGTGAAGTCTGACCGACTCTGGCTCAAACCCCTCCAGGAGCTTCCTGCAGCTCTTCAGACAGATCCCCAGCCTAGCCAGGTCCCACAGGATCCGTCCTGCCCATCTTTGCCTGCTCCTGCCGGGCCTCCAGCTGTTTGGGCTGGGCCTGCACTTCCTCTTTCTGCTCAGAGCACCTTCCAGCCGCAGGGTACTTGCACTGATGTAGATGCCTCCTGCCCCACCTCAGGCCTTCACACCCTTGCTCCAGCAACTTGCTTACCCTCAGGTCTCGGTCGAGTACCAGGTATTCCTGGAGCCTCAGGCTAGTCCTGCCGCTTGTACCCTGCATCAGCACCTGTTTCTCTCTCCTTAGCACCTTGGGGTTTAGGGCCATGCTCCTCCCCCATCCACAGCACCTGACAGCTGACAGCATCCATTCCACATCTCCTGAACAAACAAGTTAAAGAATAATGGATGAAAGGGTGAATGCCCATGGGCTAACAGGTCCCCCGGGTGCTGAGTGTCTGGGTATTTTTGTTTTCTCATATTCATTTTCTGCTTTTTTTCTATTAACAAACAAACAAAAAAAGAACAGTTATCCTTTATAAAAGTCAGGAGTTCCAGGGAGGAGCCACTCACTCTCCCTTCTTCCCCTGCTCCTTCCAGCTCCACGGGGCCAACCCATCTCAGGGCTTCCTGCTTCGGGTCTCCCAGCAGAGTCAACAGTTGCCCTCCTACCTGGGCCAATGAAAAAGGCTGCCTGCCCCACTCACCCTGGCTGCACCCCCAGGCCCTCGTACCCCCCACCTACCCTGCCCTTAGTACAATCTTCCCACTCCCCTCACAGCCCCCCTTCCCACCCTGTGCTCACGTACTGATGTAGAAAACATGTGTGCAAACACACACATGCACATGCACTCATAGGGGGTTGCTGCCTGCAAGACTGGTCACCTCCAAGGCCACCTGGTGTGCTGCCTCCATGGGCCTTACCCCCATGCATAACAGTGTGCACTCTGCAAAAAAGCAGACCTACACCCCAGTGCAAGGCCCTTTTCTCCATCCAGGGCTTCCTAAGGGAGCTTGAAGCCTGTGCTGTATCACAAACTTGAACAAGAAGCCACAGGAAAGGAGCCAGCCAGGTGGGTGGTCCCTGGGCCAGGCAGGGCTCAGGGATGGTGTAGACAGATGCCAGCACCTCTTTTAAAGTGTTCAGACTTTATTTCATGGTGATTGACACAGACACAGACACAGACCGAAGTTAGTAACATGACATATGGGGTTCCCTTCAGCCTTTGGGCTCAATGGCCCATTCCCTGCTGTGGGAGGGTTAGGGCTGCCACCCCCACAGGAGGGCAGGGTGTGTGTGTGGGGGGGCAGGTGGGATGGGGCGTAATATTGCAGTTTTCTCTGCTGCCTCTACACCCACCCCTTGGCCTTGGTCTTGGACAATGACACCCCTCACACCAGAACCAGAGAGAGAGTTTGCTGAATGGTGTGCTCAGCTGCCGGGACAGGAAGGATGATGGCCCTGTCACCCCAGGTATCAACTAAAATCAATGCATAAAGGTTGGTGGTCAGGCCCGGACACCCATCCTCGAGAGGGGGATGCCAGCTACCCAAGCAAGGAGGCAGTGGGCATCAAGCACAGCACACAGCAGCCCTGCTCCCTCTCAGGACTGCTAATGAGAGCTGGGGTATCTGGGGGGGGGGGGCACGGCTATGTCCAGGGTGGCTGGGTAGACAGGCAGGGCTAGCGAAGGGCCAAGGTGTGCTGACCAGGTCTGGACCTGGCCTCTGTCCCCCAGCACTCTGGGACTGGTGGACATGGTTGAAGGGAGGGGTACAGTATAACCCCAGCAGTAACATTGCTGCGAAGTCACAGTATTGGCACGGGAGGCCTGGGAGGGGCCAGTCTGGACTCGAGGCTAGCCCTGGCCTAGAGCACAGGCAGGGAGGAGCAGCAGCTCAAGTGGGAGCCCAGGAAGGCCCCTTAGGGCTTGCATGGAGCAAGGGCCCCCTCAAGCCCCAGCAGCGCCTTCCTGCACGGGTGGACACACGGGGAGGCAGAGCATGAGGGGCCGAGACACAGTGGCCCAAGGCAGAGGGACACATCCTGAGGCTGCCGCTGGAGTCAAGCCCTCCATGCTGCCTGCGTCATCTCCCCCTGCAAGTCCCGTGACACAGAGTTTGTCTCTGCAGCTTGTCTGCTTGGACGGTAGGGAGGCTGGTCCAGCAGTCCCTCTGGCCAACACATAGGCAAGAAAACCATATCAAAAAAGCAATGAGTTTACAAAAATAGAAAATAATGACAGCAGGGTGGGTGGTGGGCTGTGGTGTGTCTCATGGGGTGGCGCAGGGCCGAAGCTCCGGCTTGGTGACAGCATCCTCCAGCAGGTGCAGCGGGCGCTGACCCACCACCACGTCCCGTAGGCAGCCCACAAAGCCTGTGCTGTAGGCCTTGGGCAGGGCCTGGCCCATGGGCAGCTTCTCCAGGCCACCTGCAGGAAGACAGAAGGCCACCCGGTTGTGACTCAGGGATGGGCAATCTGGGGCACTAGCCAGCAGAGAGACCCACAGGTACTTGAAAGACCAAGTGAGTTACCCGAGGCCTGTCAGTGCCCTGTGGGGAGGGGGAGACCACCTGACCAGGAGACATGCTCCGGCCTCCTGGCCCCATAGGCACCCAGGGAAGAGCAGGGCCTAAGACAGGAGGGGACAGGGCCCTACCCTGGCCAGTTGGTCTGCTGTCCTGGACGGGGTGACTCAGGTGGCATTCCCAGTTTGCAGCCCCAGGGGATAGGGTCTGTCCCTCAGAGATTCTGAGACCCTTGGGTACTCCTCCCCTGGCCTTCCCCCAAACACTCACCCAGCCATAGGGCTCCGTCTGTGTCTAGCTGTGTGGCACCCAGCGGGGAAGAGCCAGTCACAGGGGCCTCGTTGCCCACCTGAAGGGAACCTTCCCTCTGTTCCCTGGGGGTGGGGTGGGGTGAAGCCATCATCAGGTGGCTCCAGAGGCACTCCTGCCACCCCCAGATCCTGAGCCCCACATCCCTCCCAGAAGTCCCATCCTGGAGCCCACCACCATCATGCCTGGGGGCCAGAATGAGGTGGCACTGATCCCCAGGAGAGCACCCAGTGGCTAGGGCAGGGGGAACTCATGTGGGTTAAACTTTGCTGCAGGGGATGACCAGGCTCAGACCCCATGGGCAGGTCTCCAAACAGTGTGCGGGCAGAGCAAGGCCTCCCTTTTCAGATCAGGAAGTCCCTGGCCGTAACCGCTTCTCCTTTGTCCTCTGGCCCCTCCCCCATCACTGGCAGTGGCCTCGAGTCGGGCACCTCGCCCTGCCCCCACCTCAAACCTGGGCCCTAGCTACAAGTGACCGGGCGTGCCCTGGCTGGGCAAGTCCAGGCACCACCCGCCACTATTCTTGGTGTGCCCTGGGCTCCCCGCTGACCTATGTGCCCTGACCCGCAACCAGCGGTTGGTGTTGACTGGCACGGTGGAGTGCAGCACCACAGGCTGGGAGCCCAAGTCGTAGGTCAGCTGCAGGCGCCCATCCACAATGGCCAGTGCGATGTAGTCCGCCCGCTCCGTGGCCTTGCCGCTCCACAGCACCAGCCCCTGTGTGGACTCCGTGCGCAGACTCAGCTCAAAGTGGTTGTCCTGCAGGGCCTTCTCACTGCGGGGTAGAGAGCCGGTCAGGGCCTCCAGGAGGGCA